AGAGAGAGACACAGTGAGAGAGGGAACACAAGCAGGGGAAGTGAGAGAGGGAGAAGCAGGCTTCCCACGGAGCAGGGAGCCTGATGCGGGGCTCGATCCCAGGACCCCGGGATCATGACCTGAACCGAAGGCAGACGCTTAATGACTGAGCCACCCAGGCGCCCCTACTTTCCTATATTCTTAACTTTGTCAACAAAAAAGAACAAAAATATTTCCTGAAATAAAACTTGATTCTCCATCCTGAAAGATAATAATACACGTGCCAGGAAAAAGTGATCCAACATGGTCAAGACTGAGATGTACTCTAACGAAATAACTTTAAAATTAAAGAAAGAACCTACTAGGAGACCAGAACAAAATATAAAGCTAATTATACATAAAGGAAAATATCAAATTGGTATCAGACTTCTTCATAACACTATTCAACATTAATACTATACTACAATAAACTTTAGCAAAGAACGGCCAATTATGAACAAGGCAGAACTTGGGGGGACATTATTGGCATGAACTCTTTGTGAAGAAACTGCGAGAAGACAAACTTCAGCCAAATGAGAGATATCTAGAGAAATTTCAGCAAAAGGACCTTGTGGAAAGCACTGAATATATTTAACTATAGAACGAAGATGAAATGAAAGGTTGGGATAAATGTGACAGAAGAGCATGTAAGTATAATATGCCTTGACAATATGAAAAGTGTACAACTAACAAAATTTGGGAAGAGAAGGTGGGAGGTAAAACAAGCCTACTTACTGACTCATCTGTAATAGGTGAAAAATCAAAGGTTAATTTTTAAAGCCAACTAATCAAGTAATAGAAGGAATAAATATTGTCTACAGAAACAGAGCACTCTAATACTAGAATAAAAGAAAAACCTTCCTAGTTATTACAAAAACTATAGTAGTAAATGACCAAAATAAAAGGCTAGGGAAATAGATAAGTGAAAGTCTTTTTTAAAAACTATAAAAACCATGATTCATTGTTATAACACCATATCAAAAACTGTATGGTGACTAACATAATAAAAAAATAAAAATAAAATGGAAAAATCTCTCTTAAAAAAAAAATAATAAAAACTGTAAAAACCAGAAAATGTCATATAAAACAATATACAGAATGAAGCCCAAACATATCAAAAATGTAATTGGACTTTCACCTATTAACTTGAAAAATGATATTCAGATTGGTTCACAGAGCAAAACTCAGTACTATACTGCATATAAATGCCACACTTCAAAGTGATTTTTAAAGGGGTGCCTGGGTGGCTCAGTTGGTTAAGCAACTGCCTTCGGCTCAGGTCATGATCCTGGAGTCCCGGGATCGAGTCCCG